ATAATTATATATATATATATATATATGTACATATATATAATTTATCCGATTAATATTAAAATCTATTCTTTTCTTTTTTGCTCTAGTACTTTTTAAGTACCTTTTTCAGGTATACCTGAATTATAATTGAGTTAACAAGATTCTGATTCGTAATCGCAGGTTCCAATTATTAGAGGCATTTTGTATGTTGTGGCGCAATGCGTGGGCGCTATCGCAGGTTCAGCGATTCTAAGGGCTCTTTCGAATGACAAACTGGAGGACTTTCTAGGCGTGGTGAAGCTTGCTGAAGGGATTACTCCAGTGCAAGGATTCGGCGTGGAATTCTTCCTTGCGTTGATCTTGGTGTTGGTAGTTTGCGGGGTATGCGATGCCGCTAAACCGGACAACAAAGCCATCACGCCTCTCATAATCGGTGTGGCGGTCACTGTTAGTCATCTCGTCGGAGTAAGTACTGATCAAAAATAGTTCCTATTTATTTTAAGTCAATTATTTACTTTGATTTTATATATATTAAAGAAATTTAATTGAATATAATAATCCGACATGTCAAAATTGAATTAAATTATAATTCAGTTATCCTTATATTCAGATATAAAATTTATTTTAAAATCTTATACTCTAAAAAATCGTTATACAAGTTAGAATTTGTTTTGGAATTAATATCTTATTCCTATATATAATTCTTTAAAAGTTTTAAGAAATGAAAGAAATTTAAAAATTAATTCTGTTTTCATAATCATTTTATACATTTGTAATAACTTTTAATAATTAGGTACCGCGAACGGGTGCGGGGATGAATCCAGCACGTTCGCTGGGCAGCGCCGTGGTGATGGGCGCTTTCAAAGATCATTGGGTGTATTGGGTGGGTCCGATTATGGGCGGTATGGCCGGTGCACTCCTCTACGTGCATGCTATCGGACCCGCCAAGCAACCAGAAGCGCCCACCAGGACCTATGCTTCCGTCTCCACCGAGGAAAAGGAGGTATATTATACTACAAGAATATAAGGCCATTTTCAGACACAAATGAAAAATATTTTGCCAAGATCTTGTAATTTAGACTCAATCTCCTATAAATTTATTAAATTTAATTAATTTTAATTAATTTTTTAAAACATTTCTTAATTTCTGTAATAAATTTTCCAATCATCTAAATAAATTAATGAAAAAATATACATTTAATTATTTTTAGTAATTTTTCAAATTTTTAAGTTCTTAATTCAATTATTTAGTCAAATATTTTAAATCTCTCAATAAATAAAAATTAAATATTTAGATTAAGTTTCGAGCTTTTCGATTTTTTGTTTCAAATTGTTAGTGTCTGAAGATGGTTGGCGAATATAATTTTTAGATATAATGTAAGTCTGGCATCTTCCTATGAATTAACATTTAATTCCGCATGAGACGCTGCACTGAAATATATGCATTTAACTTTTCTCTTATATAAACAATATTATTTATAGAATTTTGATTTTTTTTTTTTTTTTGATAGAAAATCCTTTGTTTTGGGAAGATAAATAATTATCCAATCCTCTTACGAGACAGAATATTTTAGAATAAAATTCATGCATGCTTATAATGCATAATAATAAAGATACAAAATCATTCTTATTCTCCAAAAAATAATGAGATTTTTTTTTAGGAGAAAATTTTGTTTTTAAAATGACTTTTCATATACTAATTTTCCTATGATAATACAATAATTTTCCTTCATAAATTAAAAAAAAGTTAAAAAGAGAAAAATAATCGTCTAAAAATATTTTAAGAAATGATGGAATACAAGAGACATATTTGCTTTTTGTAAAATTTTCATGACTCCGCATTCTTTCTTAATTCTGTATAAAATCTAACAACTGTTGTTTTGCACTGTGAATCTGAATGTACTATTTCTCGGTATAAGAGATACCTTCCACTCTAAGCCCACGATCGTCTCTGTCCCACAGAGGTTCGAGTACATTGACAGCGGACGTGGCGGACTTTAAGATATGAAGATGCTCAGACATACAAGAGCGAGTTAGTGATTTGCCTAAAGTATAGAACTTCCATTTTAAGAAAAAAAGAATAAAAAGAGAACAGTGAAGATGAAAACATCCTTATTTTACAGCTCCAGACTCTTACCAACAGGAAAAACGTCAATCCCGCTTGATGCTTTAACCGATTCTAACTTCTTCTGCCAACTCGCCAATCGTCTATGTGATAAGAATTATCAGACGACTCTTTTATACATATAAAAACTGCAGGTGTATGTTTTAAAACTGAAATTAATGAAATTACACAGCTTACAGAGTGGTTTTAGAAAAACGTGATCATAACGTCGATTTTTATTTAACATTGAAGATATATATAGGATCATTTAAAGACATAAATATTCACATTTCAACGTTTCGAAATAAAATGTATAATTTTTATGATACAATTAAATATAATCAAAATTTTTTAAAAGTTCAGTGCAAGAAGTATTAACATAACTTAAAAAGCTTTTGATGTTAAATAATTTGAAAAATCAATCAAATATAATCACAAAAAACATTAAACGCAGCTAAATTAATTAAATCGAAAATGGATTTCTCAAGAAAATTTCTGACTTTATAAAATATTGGAGCGATAAGAGAGTCTCTATCTTTGTCTATAATTTTGTGCCAATTTATCACTACAATATTTTTCATTGCATAAACTGAACTTTCAAAAATTTAATTATACGACATTCTCATATAGATTGACTTGTAATCGAAAGATAAGAATGAAGAAAGCCAAAGAGATCGTCACAAAATATTTCACTTGCCGATATCTCATGCTGATATCTACATTGGATGACACAGTCATTTATTGCACAAGATTGCATTTTGATAATACCATTGATAATTGATCGATTTAACTTTCGGCTAAATTTTCCTTCAATCACTCATTAAACTTCAATCAGTCATACTTGAAAAATCAATTTGCTTAAATCCACGTATAAAATAATTTCAGCAATTGATAGTGTTCCATAATTATACTTCAACGAATGTGTTTCTATTAATTATGATGACTCAAAATTTCCTCAAAATGCTTCTATAATTTATTTTTTTTTTTTAAATATTTATCATATTGTTCTCATTTCATATATATGAATAAAATTTTCAAATCAATCATTAATAATTTATTTAGTTATTAATTAAGATTAATTACGATGTTGTAATACATTTCAATATTAAAAATTCAATCACAATTAAATTATCTATTTTAAAATAAATCATTATTTTTCCATTTGTTTAATTATTTGCATATTTGCGTGACTTTTCGATTATTTCGAAATCAATTAAAATTTAATATACTTACAAGTAATTTTGTTTCTAATTTTTTTGCCCATAATTATTGTAGATATACTTTCTAAAACATATCGATACATGAAATGTATGCTTATTTAAAAAATTTGTAATATATTTGATTAAAAATCACTAATCTCTTATAAGCATATCACAAAAATATCGCGACTAATTTTCAAATCATTGATAATCATGACTATTTTGATTCATCATATATATTTTTTATAGTGATAATAAAAACATGCATTTCTTTCGTAAATAAAAATACTGCGTAATATACGAATATTTATGGTATGTGTCAATAAAAATCATTAAAGAATACATATATTGTATATTCATCGTAAATGACGTAAATGTGAATTATATGTAATGTGTTGTACGGAATAAAATATATAAGTTTTTATACAAATTGTCCTGATTATTATTATCCTCTCGTCATAAATAAAACACCATTATGATTATTATATTTATATTGTATGTATATAATTATTAAATAATTATATATTAAATTCTTACCTTTCTTTTTCTCTTTGAACTATCTTGTTTGGGAGAGGCTGGGATGGAGAACAGGCGCAATAAATATCGCGATCGACTTTCTAACTTACACATTTTTGTATATTATTTCATATATAGTTCCAAATATCTTGCAGAATCGGATAACCTATCATTTAACATGTTATCGTTTTATTATTACAATTTAATTGAAATAAAACTGAATATGATTATTGTGAACATAATATATATCTATTATAGTCATCAGTTAAGTTCCAAACTTTGTTGGAAATATGTTGACTTACAGAATCAGAGTCCGTTGCACCAATAAGAAAATCAAAAAAAAAAAAGGAAAAAATAAATTGTAATTATAATATCTACAATTATTCTAAATATAGTAGCACAAAAAAGGATTAATTTAATTATATAGATTAAATAGATCACTTTTCATTATCAACTCATGTTAATTTTAATCGACTCTAGTTAATTAATTTAAAAGTTAATTATCAATTAACTTTTAAATCAATTAAGGATCGATTGTTCCGCCTTTTGGTAAATTTTACCTGTTAGGTAAATCTGACAATCCGCTGTGATTCTTGCTACTTACTCAACAGGTAAAATTTATCAAAAGGAATAATCGGACCTTAATTTTTTTTTTCAAAAATTATATATAAAGCAAAACTACAATCTAAAATAGTTAAACTATTCTAACATTTTCATATGTTATTATCGATATATAATTATGTTGAAGTAAATGAATTATATATTGCTTATATTTAAAAATAAGCAAAGCTTAATTGATCGAGAGGAAATGTTCCAGGCGAATGACAATTGATTGGTGCAACTGGTTCTGGCTATGTACTGTAATCCTTAATGCTAAAAAGAAGACGAATCCGATGACTGCGCGATCAGGGGATCATGACTTTTCTTTTTTCTTTATTTAGTTAACGAAAGCGAACGTGTGCGAATGAAGGAAACCGTTAGGAAACATGGTATGTACAGACATGTTTTCACAACTGTGATACAATTCGCAAGTCGGAGCCAATAAAACCATCCGATAGCTGACCTTATATTTACAATTGTTCTCTCATTGCGAATGTACCAAGTCGATAAAGGATCAAAACAAACAAATAAGATCACAGTTTTTTCCAGAAATCCAAAAAGTGCTTTTCACTTCGAGAACACAATGTAAATTAAATTTTGCAATCAAGACAAGCTAGATAAGATAAACTCAATATAATACATCAAAATGTTACAACTTTTCGAGTTATTCATAGAAAAATAATAAAAATAATTGTATATACCTACAAAAAAAATTTCAGATAAAATGAAATCTTTTTGAAATGTACATAATAGATATCCCGATGCGTTAAATAATTAAAATAATTAATATTCGTCACATTCGCACGATGAATGACTCAATTTAAATTATTTTCGATATATCGGTTATTTTTGGACAAAAAGAAATTGAGCGAAAGAAATTTAATGTGATCTTAATGAAACGAGCGCGATCACCGAGCTTCGATATCATTAAAGCGATTTAATTATAAAAAGTGCTTCAATGAAAAAATGCAACAATATTCTTTCGTAAAAGTATCATACGATCAATTCAATCGGTTTTAATATCTGTATACATTATCATGGGGAATATTGATGCTGTCAATTTAAATCGCCGAGATTCTCGTCTTGCGCAATTGGAAATTAGCGTTATTATTCTAAATATTAATAGTATTGTCAAATTGTGTATTAGGATATGAAACATTAAAATGTTATATAGTATTTAAGGAAATTAATTAATAATCTTTATCTCACAATAAATATTGACAATTATATAAAGATGGAAGCTCAAAACAATTAGAAGAGACTAAAGTCAATTATAGAAGTTAAAATTATAAAAGAATAAAATATTTAGATTCTTTGTTGTAAAGTTATATCAATATTTTAACACATAACAGTATCCTTATAAAATACTAATATTTTAAAAATTAATATAGTGTATATATAT